TGTTTTTACATACTATCAAGCTGTTTTTCGGTGTTATTTGAGAGGTTTTCTGATACGTCGGCAATTATCGAAGATTATGGCCTTGAGATGCTTGCGACAAATGAGAACATGAGTCATTATACGTCGCCGATGAACCAAAAGGGTTTGTTCCTTGCGATCGTCGGCTATGATCGCCGATTTAAAAATTTGCATTAGAACATTATTTAGACTCATCAGCAATCATGTCTGATTTCCATTCTACCTGTATGACCACACTTGCGCCCAGCAAAATTGCTGAACTGGAGGATTCGTCCAGGGCCGGTGTAGTATGCTAATCGGTCCCCCATGCAAAAGTGTCCCCTTTGAGGCGATACGTATATGCGTTTCAGTAACCTTCGTGAAACGGGTAGCGTTTCAGTGACCAAGTGGTAATGGCGGAAGTGTATAGCGAAGCTTCGAGAAAAAGTTCAAGATGCTGATATATTCTAAAGTTCAAGATGACTGTTAAATTTACTGGAAATCCAAAAATATATTATTTATAATGCAAAGATTGCTTAGATTTTTTGCGGTAGATGATAATAGTAAGCCGAAATAGAAAGTTGATACGGTGAGTTTAGGCCCATCAGCTTGATTCGTGAAATCATGGCAAAAACTGATGGTTTTTTCACAAGATACGCTCCCTTGTGTTTAAAATCAATTTTTTTACTCGTGCATACTTGATTGTAAAGAAAAGCTATGTACAAATCTAACATTAATTGCATATGAAAGGCGTGAATGTTGACATATAATTTATTCGTCCCTGCTCTGTTTGGCCTAAGCCTTGCTACAATTTGAATATATAGTAAACTTTATCGTGAATATCGACATTGTCTTTAATAATGCCCATTTAATAGTATTTTTTCCAAGATGCTGCTACTGAAAAGATATGGGGCTAGTGCTCCCTTGAAGCATGCATACATTAGACGGGGAAGATATTCTACCCCATGTTAAAAGGGACAGCCCCTCCATCAAACTTTATGACACCTCTGAAAAAAGTTATCAAAGTCTCTAGAATCAAGGCGCAATTTTTGCATCCTTGCTTTTCAACTAAGAGACAAAGTAGGCAAAGTTTTTAGATGTGTATATAAACTGTATACTTTTCAAGTTTAGGCATCTTCTATATCAATAAATGATCCAAATCCCCCTATTAATTTTTTAAATTGAGGAAATTTTTGTCTGAAAACATTTTATCTTGAATATTCTGTACTGATATTTACAAGTATAAACATAAAATATTGCTAATTTTGTTTTGCTTAAGAGGTAATATTGTTCAGAATGTCTGCTTTTCAATTTGGATGTTCTTGACATTGACAATTATTGTTCTTGGTTTTTCAAACACTCTCTATTGATGCTGAGCTGAGCATTTTCTTTTTCAAATAATACATCTTCTGAAAACTCTTACTCAATAAACTTAAACAAGACAACAATGGATGAGATGTTTCTTGTATAGTGTAAATTTGATATGACGATGTCATCATCATTAATAATATTTAAACACTACAACTGTCTTAGGGTTCACATTACTTTCATAGATGGAAAGAATACATTATTTTTGTTTCTTAAAATTTTTATATGGTTTAAACAATTGACAATCATGAAAATATTTTCTTATTTGTTTTGTACAATTGTGGGGTCATAATGTTTACTGTATAATACCATGAGATTGTACTTTTTTGCTAGAATAAGCCTGACATGATCACTGACTTAGCCCTCATTTACTAAGGGGTTTATTGCACAGCTCCTACACAATAGACATTTGTGTTCAGATTTTTTTGCATAAAAATGAGAAATAGTAATTGAGAAAAAACAATAAAATCAGAGCTGTTTTTCTCAAAATGCATGTATTTATTGTCAGATTTATCAGACATATAAAGATTTTATGTAATATAAACTTTTAATGCTTTTCTTATTAATGCTTTCAGGTATTTGGCAGACCTTTTTCAGACCTTTTTTCAGACCTTTTTTCAGACCTTTTTTCAGACCTTTGGGAGATGGTGTATTTTGGTACAGGTCAATTCAAATACAAATTGGATGAGATTTGATTTTTTCCAGAACAACAAGACTAATGTTTGTTGATTGTCTTTAAAAGAAATCACAGTAATCATTTAACATAGCCCTCGTCGAATTTTATCAATTTTTCTTCATTTCAGAATTGAAGACAGATACTCCATTTTTTTCCCTTTAGAAAGAATCGGAGTATTAGCAATAAATCGAAGTTTAACCAAAAACGGAATACAAAAATGGAAACACAAAAACAAATTAATATTAAAGTCCAAAGTTTCAATTTCCAAATCTATCAAAACCTTGAAATAGCTTTCCGCCCTTAAATATCCATTTGAAGAGAAAAGTTGTATAAGTCACAGAATGTCGCCTCGTGTCGCAAGTAAATCGAGGAGGCATGATTAAGGAGATATATTTATCTATTAAAATTTGAGAAATAACTTCTTTTTGTTCATATACATAATAATGAAATGTTTTTATTCGACTCATAAAATGCCTTTTTGTAACTACAGAGACAAAAATTCAGCATTCAATGATTATTCAAATTTCATTAGATTTCATTTTCACATTAGTTCATAGAGAGGCTCATCTATGCTTGGGACTAAATATGCTAGTGCGGCTCTGTTATTAACCAGTGTAAGGAGTTAATACAATAATGCTAATATATAATCATATGGTAATTTACTTTATAGTTGTTCTTGTACAACCCAGGTTAAGACTTGAAAAAAACCCACCTTTTCTCCTTTTTTTAACAAAAAAGGCCTTTGAGAATGATGGATCAGAAACTTTAATTAATTTGTTTAAAGTATATGACATGATTAAAGTATATGACAAGAGAGTGTTATGGAACTGGTTGGGACAGAATGAAAAAATTTCCACACCTTTTTGCAGTCAAAAAGCGCCTTTTTAACCCCAGAAAGTAACTATTTTACAAGTAGGATGCCCTCAAGACTAATTTTTTTGGTTACACAGAATAAAGTATAATAATTTCCTAAAGTATTACCCGTTCCCAAAATTTTCTCATCAGAATTCGGCGAAATACAAAATCAATTACACCGAGATGTCCCACCCACTCTTTCTCTGTCTCTGCCATTGGGAACTTTGCAGTGGAATGTATACCCAGGCTAAATTTTTTGTGCACCTTGAATCGCATTATAAGACCATACGTCTGCTAACGGTAGCCAAGACCTAGATAGTGGATAGCATGGTCTCACACGAATATGAAACAATATATTGGTTTTACCTATTGATTTCGTTTGACATAACAAATACAGTGGAATCCCGATATAACGATTTCTGAAGGGAACCAGAAAATAGTTTGTTATATCGGGAGTTCGTTAAACCAGGGGTTCATTGTATCAGGATTCCACTATATGCTATGTTCATGTGTCAATAGTCCTACCTCTTCAGCTGTAATTTCCTCTCTTTATAAGATCTAAGTAAAGTTTTCTACGTTTCCCTTAAATTTTTGCCATACCGTTATGAATAAAGGTTACTTTGTTTCCATTCAATTTCCACGATATTTTCTACAATTCTTAATGTCGAAATTGCAAACTACAATTCTTAAGAATTTGATGGTAATTTCACTGAAGCAATAGTTATACCATTACAAATTTGAAGAAAGTCAATCATATTTTATTGATCCTATCAATAAGACATTTTGATGAATAATCTAACCAGAGCGATATTTCAATTATTGACCTCTTCCATAGATGTTTTGGATAGGGCAATCAGTTTTTAGGTAAATGTCCCCCTATTGTTTTATAGTGTTCTATAGAGGGGACACTTTTGCATAGTGTCGTTTTGCTATGCGTTTCGGTCCCCCCGGACACTTTTGCATAACAAAACTGTTTTGCACTTTCGCATACAGTTTTGTTATGCAAAAGTGTCCCTCTATTGTTTTATAGAGGGGACACTTTTGCATAGTGTCGTTTTGCTATGCGTTTCGGTCCCCCCCCCCCGGACACTTTCACATACAGTTTTGTTATGCAAAAGTGTCCCCTATTGTTTTGTAGAGGGGACACTTTTGCATAGTGTCATTTTGCTATAAGTTTCGGTCCCCCCCCGGACACTTTCGCATACAGTTTTGTTATGCAAAAGTGTCCCTCTATTGTTTTATAGAGGGGACACTTTTGCATAGTGTCGTTTTGCTATGCGTTTCGGTCCCCCCCCCCCGGACACTTTCACATACAGTTTTGTTATGCAAAAGTGTCCCCTATTGTTTTGTAGAGGGGACACTTTTGCATAGTGTCATTTTGCTATAAGTTTCGGTCCCCCCCCGGACACTTTCGCATACAGTTTTGTTATGCAAAAGTGTCCCCCTATTGTTTTATAGAGGGGACACTTTTGCATAGTGTCGTTTTGCTATGCGTTTCGGTCCCCCCGGACACTTTCGCATGGGGGGACCGAAACGCATATTACACCGGCAAAACGTATTTGAAAGTGGAGGGGCCAAAATATCACAGTCTTGAAAGGGCTTAGGAAAGGCCGCCACTATGGTTGGCGGCAAGAATAATTTTAGAATTATGATGTCTTAGGGATAGCCAGAAACATAGTCGCGTCTATTGTGATGTTGACTTGAAATAGAAAAGTTTTGCAAAGTTTTAGAATAACCACTATCATATAGCTCGTGATGAAACCTTTTTTAGATTTTAAAATTACCCGTAATAAGATGGGGAAAAAATAAATGAAATACGGATTAATAAAAAACATCAACGTTGAAATATCAAAGGAAGGACTATAAACTAAAAATAAAAAGTTAAGCAGTTTTGTACAGTTAAGATATAACTTTGTAACATATGATCTTAACTTTTTCAGAAATTAAGTGCTTTAACAAAAATTTGAAAAACCTTAAACTGGGCTTGTCAAAATGAGTTTAAATAGAATTTATAATTGCGTCGATATTTTCTCTTTCTTAGTAGGAATGGATTGAATCAAGACCCAAAAAATAATTTGGCATTTCACGAGCTCAAAAAATTAATTGTATAATTGGCTGACCCAAAAAATAACTTTCGCTCAAATTTTAGACCCAAAAAAGTAGCCTGAGCACCCCTATCCTGAATATATATGAGTACCCCCTCCCCTAGGGTCGAAGTCAGGTCGTACTGTCCATTTCTTGCCTCCAAAACCCTTTTCACATAAGTATAAAAACAAGAAATACACCAATACTAAACAAGACAAGCAACAAAGATGTTATTTCCCAACCATTGAAAAAGTGAAAAAAAGACGTCCGAATATCAACAACACCAAAAACAACAACAAAATAAAAAATAGGAAACACTACAATGCGACGAGAATGCACAACAATAAATACACGTAAAATAGTATAGGCTAATATTTCGCCCCGGCATACGGGGCTTCGTCAGAGCTAAAGTCAACAACAAAACAACAGCATAGACAACAACAACAACATCCATATCATGCTTCAACATGGCAGCCAAGAGACCTGCAAGTGATTCCGAAAGTTTAGTCGAAAACCTCGAAGAAACTCTTGAGCCAAGTATCCTCTGCGAACGAAAAAGGCCTAGGCGATTGGTTGAAAATTGGGGCATCTCTGGTAGGAAAATGGGCACTGGTATGGAGGACTCGAGAGACCCCCTCTATTTTCACAGGCCTATTTTTAACCAGTTGTGGGAGAATTCATATTTGGGTGTAGGAGACGATGGTAAGAAGCGTATATTATCTAAAGGAATAATCAGTAATAGTTCGTTACGTTCAGTGTTCCGTAAAGCATGGTCTGAGCAATTTCTTATAAGTATTTTTGTGTCATTAAAATGTTTTTATAATTTTTACACACAATGGTGAGTCTTTAACACAAATGCAAGCATATTGGGCTTATTAAGGGTGTGATCATAGGTGTGGCCTCTTGAATTTGCCTACAGCACAGGCTCCTTCCTAACTTTTTAGGATGGCACCCCTTGTTGTTACCCCACCACAGCGTTTTTGCAACAATCAGAATGCAATGCTCAGATTTACTCAAGAAGACAGAGTACACAAAAACATTTAGGGACAACGATATTTAAAATCATTGGCAGACAAGTTTGTCTTTTCATTTAGGTGTATTGGAAACTGCCTAGTACATCATAACAAAGGGTCCTGCCTTGTCTCAACAGAAACATTTTGTTTCCTCTCTTTGACTTATGCCAGGAACCAGACTGCAAAACTTTGTTGTGCCCATTGATATATTGCCTGAAAACATAAATCCTTGAACTTTTACAAATTATTACTTAAAAATCCAAGAGGTTAATAATTAAAGATTGCCCCACCCCCTCTCTCCTGTACCTTCTTGCAAACAGTATAATTTTTGCAACATATTTTGTTATGGGTCTTCAATTGACCCTCAGCCCCACTTCTTTCCAACTTGTGTCAGAGCCCCTGATGTCCAAGTTTTCATGAATTCAGGAACGCAGTCCCAAATTTTCAAAATGATATTGTCCATGCAAGAAACAAAGTTTCCAGTGAGGATGAGAGGTTAGTGGCTGCAATTAGTCAAAAACAAAAGACCAATCAAACAAGTCTGTCCTTCCCCTTAAATTACTTTTGATCCACATCTGGAAACAAATTTTCTGTTTTGGACATAATCTGATGTTTATACTGTTAGGAGTGTGGAGGGAAAAGTACTTTAGTATGATGTGTTTCTGCTTTTCTGTGTTATTTTCAAACGTTTTAAAGATTATCAAAGGTATAAAAAATCTACAAGGCATTGCTCAGTAATCTGTAAGAAAGATGCAGGATCTGAAGAGTGTTGTCTTAAGAATTTTTCTTGGGTGTTGCTTCCACCCACTCAATCCTATTCTAGTCAGATACTTCTCTAGACCCTAGGCAAAAGCATACCAGAATTTACTGTGCAGTGAACTTCCTCATGCCAAAATCAAGGAATCCAAACTGGGAAATTAAATGGTTTGCCCCTAGGCCTCACTAGGGTGGCTTTTGGTCCCTAGCAACATAATTTCAGAAACCCAGATCTTCAATCATATTCAATATTATTTCACAATCATTTCAAAAGATCCCAACAAGCTTCCTATATGCTTGGATAGAAAGTTGTGAAGAAAGTTTAGATTGGAGACATCATAATGCCTAACTTTATTGAATCAACTAAGAGCAAAATGATCAAACCTGTGTGTTAATTGACAGCACAATTTTGCAATAGGTAGTATCTTTGATATACATGTCACCATCATTGCATGTTTTATGGTGCTTATGCCTTGCAGCTTAGCATAAGTAGTGCCCATATTTACCCACATTCGAGCAGTTTTTTGGCAGTACAGAACTTGAAAATGGCTGTTTGAAAAAAACAAACATTTAACAACATATTGGCTAAAAACTTTTTTGTCTGACACTCCTCACAGCATAAAACGTCAGAATAAGGGTCCGAAGAGGATAAAAAAAACCCAGTAGTTGTGGATTGAAATAGGCCAATCAGAAAAACGCAAGCACAAAACCCGTGTAGTTGACCAATCAGTGCCGCGTGCCTAAAGAAAATTTATCACTTGAGTCAAAGAGAGAAAACAAACTCCTTCTGTCTACACAATGGCAGCTTTTTCGTTTGTATGTGGATCAATTCCAAAAATTATAGATGGAAAGATAACTGCTCTCTGCCAATTATCCGAAACATGTCATCATTATAGAGTTTAGGGCAATCTGGGTTGTCTAAAGGATGTTGAGCAATGGTAGAATCATTTGTTTTAACAGTGTTTCTAGACCTACAAGATCGAAGAGGCTGTTTTCTTTGAGGGGCAGTTTTATTTCTTATGTTGGAAGGAACATGCTGTTTTATCCTATCCCATAATTTTTGGGGTGTGCGTCCTACGTGGCCAGTATCACACTGGCATGTAAATTCATAAATAGCAGAACGTTTTTGGTTGGTAGGAATGCAATCGTTTTGAATGGATAGAAGGGCTCTTCTAGTGCTGTAAACAATACGAGGATTGACAGCAAAGAAACATTTTGTGATGGCTTGCCTAATCTGACTCTCTAATCGCAAGGAAGTGTTACCAATCCATGGTAGTTTCAAATAAACTAGGCACTTTTGTGGACCAAACTTTTAAACAGCCGAAAACTTGCGATCTTCTTCTTAGTTTAAGATAAAATGACATCTTCTAGATAGCCATTGTCCAGAAAGATCGTTTTAAGTTTTTCCAGTTCGGCATGCAGTTTAGATTTGGAGCAGATCATCAGTTCCCTATGTTCTAAAGTTTGGACAAGGTTGACTTTGCGATGTTGTGGGAAAAGTGAATTCCAGCGTATGTACTGCCCAGTAAAAATAGGCTTGCGATATACACTGGTAAGAAATCCAGAGTTATACTTTTCGACCAAAACATCTGAAAATGGCAAGGAATCATTTTCTTCCTTTTCAAACATAGACTGGAGGCCCGGGTGTAGGCTATTAACAAGCTGTTCTAGAAAAATATCACACTCAGCCTCTGTTTTGAAAATGGTATATGTGTCATCCACATACCGAAAATAGACACCTGGCTTTTGGTCGTACATAATTAGGGGGTGTTAATAAATGGAATTTGGTATCAGAGAGAGAATAATTTGATAGATTGAAAATATGTTTTTTGGTATCACTCAACATGCCACTGAAATGTTCCTTACTAGAATATTCCCTCTAATTGGTCAACTATGCTGGTCTTGTGCTTGCAATTTTCTGATTGGCCTATTTCAATCCACAACTGGGTACATATTTTTCACCCTGTTCTTTTGGACCCTTATTCTGATGTTTTATGCACTGAGGAGTGTCAGACGAAAAAGCTTTTAGCCAATATGTTGTAAAATGTTTGCTTTTTTTCAAAGCCATTAGCCATATTTAGAAAAAGACAATTTTTCATCGTGCAATTGCTCTTTTTGAAAATGTGCTGTTCCATGTCTTACCCATATTAAAAATAGCACAAAAAGTGGAAACATTTCCTATGCTTTGTCAATTTGTCCTTTTTTGATTTTTTACAGTACAGGTGTATAATATTAATAAAGAAAACTTTTATACTAAGATTTTTTTTGTAAGTTTGTTCAAATCAGTAAATTTCATTGTCTTTGTAAGTATTTACTTCCATTGCAGGAGCAAAGACTATAAATATTTATCAGATTCCAAGGCAACATCTATTCTACCTCAGTCTACTATTGCATGAGGCATTCTTGAATGGGCATTACATACAAGCAGCATACCTGTTAGTTGCAATTTCTCAGAACCCAAGATATCTCCCAGAGCAGATATGGCGTGTAAGCATTTTCTATCTTTCATCAATGGGTGGCATTATGAGGTACAAACTTGGGCCAAATTTAATTTTAATAGAAATTGTCTTTGCCTATTATTTTTACCTTATTACAAACTTATTGAAGGAGTGAAGGAGTGCAAAGCTTGTTTTCTTAGAAATTTTGCATGGAAATTTTTTGCAGATTTTTAAAAATTCAAAAAAATATAATGTCTCTACTCTTTGCTGGCAACATATTTATTTTGCAAAACTGACACATTTTGATTAAGCAGTATGAAAAACCTTTGCAATTTGAATAATTGTTTAGTTATGTTTGAGCACAGCCTTCTTGTTAAAAATAGTGTTTTGAAATAGAAGAGACAAGGCCATTCTGGCAAGAAACTTGGGAAGACTAGACTCATTTTTTGCCACTACATAAAATTTATTTTTTCAAGAATTGCTATTTCATTTATATTATCAAATTTTTTCCAGTGTGGTATGGAGGTTCTGAAGAAATGCAACATGGCAATGATTGGAACATTAAGAAAATTCCAAAAGCTCATGTCTAATTTATGTCCTCAGTACTCAAACCAGATTGTGCTGGATATGGCATTTGAAATTTTAAGAAAAGGAAATGATGTAAAGGAAGCATATCAATTTTTACTAAACAATGTTAATAACAGAAGGGTGAAATATGATCCACTGTTTGGTGCCTATATTGGAATGTTTGAATTTGTGCTTTGGAGAGCCGACATTGAAAGACAAAGTTACAAAAATGAAGCCAGTGAGGAAATACCAAGTGGAAAGACTGTTAATGAGATAACACATTTTAATGCAAAACGAGCATTAGAAAGCATGGAGTCTGTACTTAATGAAAGTGGAATCTGGGATGTGTTTGTCCTAAAGATGCTGGAAATATATGATTATTATAATCAAAGAGAGAAGGCAGTTTTGCTACTTCAGAATTATCGTGAGAAAAATTATGATAATCCCAATACACACAGGTATTTTAAAATTAAACTACTAAAATTTACTGTGTCAATGTAAGTTTTTGTATTTAGCACCTTCCCTTGATTCTACATTTTAGCTTCTCAAACTCAGAGCTTTCGGGTCACCAGGAAGCTATGAAAACGCTGATAGGGATCATTAAAACATAATCCACTTTCAATATTGTAGGTCTTTTTTGTAGTATGCATTTATGCCATAATAGAATTATGAAATACTTTGATGAAAGATGTTTTATTGTAAATGTTGCTAACGGTTATTCTAAAAATTAAGTTTACAATACATCATCTAGGGTTATAACATGAGCTGAATGGGTTATTTGCGAAATATTTTCCTCTATTGTTGAAAAATATATTGATGGCAGCAGAAGCAACAGCTGCAATTGGGTTGTTCTCCTATCATTCTAGATATTTATATTGGTATTTAAAAAGAATTGGTAGAAGTGAAGAAGAAAGATTTCCAGTCCTTAAGGATTTAGTGGAACATGATGCCACTGATGAGCTTGCAATTGAATTTATTGAAATTATCAGTGAAAGAGGTTTGCGTTTCTTTATAAAATGTTATTTGCATATTGTAAACTGCAGTTACTGTTTGAATAAAATGTCATATGAACTTGTACGACCTTGTTTAATAATTGTGGTAGTCGTAAAAACTTGTATTGCATAATTGTGTGATGTATTGAACGAGCAGCCAGTTACAACCAGGAACTTCTTTTCGTGGTTATGATGTTTGTAATTAGCAGCCGATGAAAACAAAGCTTCATTTGAACTAACTGAAAACCTTGGTCATAGCCAGAGGTTAAGCCTAAAGCAGTGAAGGCAAAGCTTTTGAATAATTTCCAAGGGACTGTTATTTTTAGGGTTGATATTTATTTGTTTTGAGAATATATGCCTTAGAGGACCATGATAACGAAACCGCCTCTTAAGTGGCTTAATTTTTTCTTTTGGAAAGCCACATTTTAGCATTTTTCCGACGAATTTCAGCCTAATGTATTTTTACATTGCTGATTGTTTTGGCAATTCTTTTCAAGATGTGCAGTATGTGCCATTATTTGCGGTTCAATGCGACCGATTTTGAGCGACCCTTACAAAACATCTTTATCAAAATGCAGATGTTACTTGTTGCAATACGGTTTTAATTTGTGTTTTTAGATCAAATTTTGCAGATATTGGATCTTCTATTCAAGCGACTTGATCACCCGGTCTGCAAGAACAGTTTATTCGACTGGACAACGCTTTATAACATTTTCAAGACTTATAAAAAAAATCAAGCGACTAGAGAGTGGAAGAAAATACAAACTTGTTTGACGGTGCGAGAAGAATGGTGGCCGAAATATCATTTTGGCACATCGGAGAAAAAATGTGAATCTGAGACAGGGAAGATGTTGGAAAGATATAAATGGAAAATTGGAAGGTTTTATAAAGCCCACAGTCATTCTGTAAAGCTGGTTTAATTGTCAGTATTGTTTCCTAAAAGGTAGATGTCTTGGTAACCCACATTCCCCCAAGCTAGATTCAGTCGTGATCACGTTCTTCTCAGCCTATTTCACAACCTTGCGAAGTGTCAGAAATTAGTATCAATTGGTTTGAAACTTGTAAGAATATGGTAAGAAACTTCAACACGCCATTGTATGCTCTGTTATTCTAACGAAAAATGCATTTGTCCCAATGATGTAAGAAAGCAAGCTTATGGTAGTTAGACTTGTCTGTATCTGACTTGATGCGAAGTGAAAATGCAGTTAAAGTAAACCATCCCTCGTAGCTATTTTTTTAATTAAACCCAACAACAACATGCAATTGATATGACGTAATATATCAGTGTGAAATATCTAGACAGGACAGTCGAGATCTCGCTCTTCGTTTAAATCGATTAGGCCGTCCAATTTGATTAAACGGAAGACCAATGTGGAATCTAAAGCGAAGCACTAATCCAGGTATGTTTTGAGCTTACAACAACTAGAATTTCTATCAAGTAGTCATAAAGAAACGACTGATATCAGCCGTTTAGAACCCATCTCCTTGCCCACTGCCTCCTTTATGTAGCAGCCACTCGCGAGGGAAGTTCAGCTCATTTTCCTCATGTGAACTGAGTGGTTAATTGACGTAATGAAATGTGTTTTAGAACAATTTGGGTTTTGATTATAACGACTGATTCACGTCAAAAAAACAAATCCTTTACCTAATGGTGTTTTGTTTTGAATTTGTAAAATTATCGTTAGTTCTTTCATAATAATCTGCAACATAAGCTAAGCTTTTGATAATTTTGCCAGTTAAAAATACAAATATAAACATTATTAAAATGTTGAAATCCATAAGACTTGCCTAGGCCGGAAATTATAGATTTGTGATGTGTGATATTTGTACTAAAGACATTGTGAGGAGACAGTTCTTTTTTAGAATATTAATACATTTGTATGTACAACTACAGAGGACACACAGCTCTTTCATATTTGTTTCATTTTTTCATGTTTGTCGCGGATGGAAAGCAAAGCAGCTAATTTGAAGTTTGTTTTTTATGATCAGGTATTATGGTGTTATGAAATGATCCCCCCTTGGCCGGTTGCAGCCTCTTACAGAAGTGAAAAGTAAAATAATGAATTAATGTTGAATGTTGATATTTCATGATCATGTTTAGGGGGTGCAGCAAAACTAAGGGTGTTTTGGGTTTTTAGTTTGTGGTAACGGTTCTTCCTCGTGATGTCGTAAGTAAGTTCTCTTTGGGAGCAGAGAAAAAGAAAGTGCGACGCCCCTCTACTTTAAGTGTAGAGGGGCGTCGCCCGTTACGATACATTTATTACTTAAGACCATCGTTTCCTGTCGTATTTTTTTGTTTGTCTTGTTCATACTAATGCAATTTAATTAGCCTGGCTATTGTTTATTTTATTCTTAACTTTTACCAGTTTTGGTCCTAGGTATACTAATAAACAACATCGTAAAGGAAAATATTCACCCATGTATTTTCCGTTATGAAAGCTGGGATGGTCCATTACCGTATTACCGTAAATGCAGTATAATTCATGTTTAAGTGTGAAACACGGAGCTGCAATTTAAAACCGTCCTGTTCTTTACACCAAAGGCGTGATTTATATTTTATTTATTTCAATTCTTATTTTTTAGCTGTGATTCTAAAATAATTCATCTCATGCTAAGCATGGTCTAACATAGTAGTGGTCTTATAAACTGTGTTCCTATAATAATAATATAACCGAAAAGCGTTTGGAATGATGGTTAGGCTACAGCCCCCCCCCCAGTCGCCCCAAACTTCCCCCTTCCTTGCTCTCATATCCAAATTAGTGATTTTCACTGAGTGTGAAGCAAAATAAGCTAGCTGAGGTAGTTCGATTGAAAAATGTTCGCGAAGAAATAAAATATGGTTAAGTGTATACTTGCAAATTAGCTGGTAATTTATTTTTATTTTAAAACTAAAGTTAGTTTATGAATATTTTTCCTGCCAATGAATTAACGGGAAAAGCAAATCAAAGCTTGGATTTCAAATTTGGTATCGTGCAGGCCAAAATAAATACACTTGCAGGCCAATCGGCCTGGCTCAGTCCCTTTGCACGACCCCGTCAACTTTATCCCAGCATCATTAAAATTAACAAAGTTTGATCGTGGTTGTCCCAGGGGGTACTTCCATTTAAGCATGGCAGGGGGTCAGACCCGTAGATACTGGGGGCAGGGAGGGCAATGCCCCCCAATAATTTGCGAAAATTGTGTTTGACCATCTTATAAGCGCAGCTTAATCTGACAGTATTTCGTAAGGCAGGTATAAAAAAAGCTACATTTCTATCCATGCCCCCCCCCCCCAATCCAGTTTAGCTGTCTACGGGTCCAGGGGGTTCAGTTCTTTTCAAAGAGGGCCTACTGTAAAATGTCAAAAATTACCTACAAATGGCAAAATTGTTTGACAATCACCCCCAAAATAGTAGCATGAGAACCAAATTTATGTCATTTGTTAGCATCAGTGGCGGCGCCAGCTGCTGCAAAGTGGGAGGGTAATGGGTGTTACCCGTGAGACCACGCCATATTGGCCTCGTTTCAGTGCTTTATATCAGGTCAAATTTCCTTAGGAAATATGATCTACCCCAACCTAGTGCTTTTTAATCCGTTTTTAGACGAAATATGTAGACCGTGTTTTGACAAAAGTGGGGAGGTAATTACCCCCCATACCACCCCTTGGCGCCGCCACTGGTTAGCATCCATTACTTTGTTCTTGCTTGCCCTTCTTTGACAAATGCTTTCTTCATTGACTGCGTTGATAAACTCGGCAGTCAATAAGAAGTACCCCCGTGAGAGGAAGTAATTACTTGAAAGACCCCCAAGTGATAGCGTTATTATCTAAATTTTGTAGTAATTTGGTATCACCCTTAAAAACGACTGAACTCCCTACCAGGCTTTAATGGCTACCTCCAAAACACGGATTACAGCATCTTATATCGCTTTTAACCAATGCTCTGTTGACAAATTGTTAGCTTGTTAGGGTAAAATGCTTTTTAGTTTGCGATTCGAAGACAATACATCTTTTATCTTGCATTTATATTTTTGTACTGGTCGTTCTAGGTCAGGGTTTCGTTGACCGCCACGTCACTTGGTTTTATTGACCCTGTTTATCCCCCCTTTACAGGTAACTCCACAGGCCCGCTGAGCCTGCAGGCTCTCCAATTCGTCAAAAGCTTTGCACCAGAGTCGTCACTAGCTATTCTGCTTTAAGAGGGGATGGGGCGCTCAGATCCCATTTCATGACAATATGGGTAACCAATCTTTCATTTGCCTTTAATTGACAAATCGGAAATTTTGAAGATAAAGCAACCCTAGATGGCAAAAAGCCCTTTATTTTTCCATGAATTTATTTTCATAGGATTGTCACACGATTGAAAGTTTATAAGTTGCTTCATTTTCTAAAATTTGAAACGAGAGCTGAGACCCAGGGCCGCCACAAAGCAGGACGAGGACACAATTCTGGGCAGGACCCCGATTTAAGCTGAATGCGCAAAGATTTTTTGGCGTCGATAACATCATATGTCGCATTAACAATTGGCTAACAAAACAAAAGCGTTTGGAGTGGAATTCCATTGTCTCGTGACTTTTCCTTTCTTCTTCTTGAATTTTTACTGCCTTAAAAATTCACCCCCGATTCCATGATTTGTACTAAACAAAAGAGATGATTGTATTGCATTCACTTTCAATACCTCAGCACAGCCAAGTCATTTAGTAAGCCATCATTCCTTGTCGTTTTGACGACAAGTTCAAGATCGTAGAAAAGAAGTTTTAAATATAAATAGTACACCAATAATTACAAATACTTTGACATTTAACTTCAGGCCTTTAAGGGCGTTAAAAACGGAAAAAACCTCCATTCTGAGCAAGGGGCCCCAATTGTATTGTCTAATTGCAATTCAAATTTATAGTTGGTTGAACTTCATGCCGTGCTTTACATAAAATAATAATTTCAAGCATGGTTAGCTTTATCATTAAATTTGTCATCAAATAATTTCTTCCAACTATTGGATTCCATGGGGCAATTCAGTCTTGAAAATAGCGTACGAGATTTTCTCTAAAACAAAAGGATTTCTGAGGATTTTCAAATAAAACAATAGGATTTTCACAAAAGGTGTACGAGATTTTCTTGGAGTGATTTGCCCCTCGTTGGATTCCATATTCCGGATTCCGTGTTTTGAAGGTAGCCTCTGTGAACGTTCTTCAGGATTGATTCATACTAAACAGGAAGACATTTAGCAATCCATCGACCCATTTAGTATACGAAATGAGCCTGGGGAATCAGAAGAGATCGTTTTGCGGATCCTTGTTCATTTAAGTAGACAGGAGATTCTTCCTGGGAGAACCCAGACAAACCAAGCCTTTCTGTCGTGAGCCTATTCTGATCGTTTTGATTTTGGAATCAGGAATTAATTTTGGAAGCAGGAATCTGGAAATTTGTTCCTTTCTACGGCAAGTACGCTCAACCTTTTTTGTCTTTGTCTGATAACTTTTATCGTGGTTATAATCGGTGATAATGGCCTAACAGATATCAAACATGGCCTTCTAGAATTCTTCACCTGAATGTTGTTGAGCAGGGTATCGATGGCCTAGCAGGGTCGTCGCGAGGAAAGCCTTGCTGGGGGGGTTGGTGGACTACAAATTTACCTGATTAAAAATGTTTGCCTGAAATTCTTTAGTTGCTGTCACAAACCTCTGCAATGTATTTGTCAATCTAACTCTGTATATAATTCGCAACTTTCATTTCAATTTGATAATAACGGAATTTTCCTAGTAGCTTTAACAAATCTCTATATCGGATTAACGGGCAAAGGATACAGTTACTACCCGAGGCGGCACCATGGTTGCCGCCGAAGGAGTAGAAAAATTTTCGAATTTTGATGCTTCTAGTTCCCTGGAAAATGCACTATTTTATGCAAATTTCACTAAAGCAATCCTCCTACTCCTATTGAAAATAA